TGACCGTTTGGCCTCGTATAGGTGATTTTTTAAAGGAGCACAGTACTTACAGGTGATGTTAATTATTTTTTGAGCCAATTTGTTATTTAGCTACAAGGTGACCACAGGGGTTAGTTTTGGTTCAAAGTTTGAAGAGTATTTCAGGGCAATAGTCTTGGGGAGTCCTCCAGTCTCAACCAGTCCAGTAGGTGTGGATTTTTTTTTTTTTAGGAATTTGGGGTCCTTTTCCACATTTTTCTCCCATTCTGTCAGAGTCCATCTATTGTGGTGGCCCTGATTAGAACAGTCAGTAGTGGTAGCCAGGCACCGTCTAGTTCTTCAGGTCTCAGGGTAGATGAGGCCATGGTTTGTGTAGACTGTTAGTCCTGTAGACTAGTTTCTTTGAGTCTTTGGTTTCCTTCTTTCTCTTCTACTTTGGACAAACAGAGACCAGTAGTTGTATCTTAGATGGCTGAATACCCCAGACACTACTCACTAAACTATGATGTAGAATACAACTTTACAAACTATATTTATGCCAGTTAACCAAGATGTCCCATGAGACTATGGTCCTAATCCTTCAAACCCAGAAATCCAGTCTCGTGAGGTGTTTGATTATATCTTAGAAGTATCTGTAACTGTGCCCCCTATGTGCTTTATTTTATATGTATGAATATATGTGCACAGAGTCACATAGATGCATATACATACGCATATACCTGTATATACATGTATATATACATACCTACACACACATATGCCTGTATACATACATACGTACCTGCACATGTCTTTTTCGGTTGTTTTTGCTCTTGTTTCAAAATTATGTATGCCATAGCAATTACCAACAGGTCCTTTTTTCTTGTGTACTTTTTAGTGACATTGTTTACCTTCATCAAGCTGTGTACACTTCACCCTCTTTTGGTGTTACCTTTCCTTTCACCAAAAGTAACAAGTGTCTACTGTCTAGAGAGTAAATCTCTGTTCTTTGTTTATCTGCACCATGCACCATGCTTGAAAGAGCCCAGGGTCTCAGACCCATGGCCTTCAGGCTGAGGATGAGCTCACGATGCTTTGAGGTGGTTCAGGGCAACCTTCTCACTAGCTCTTCCCTTAGTTCTATCACGTCTGACCAAGAAACAGCTTGCCACACACGGTGGGTGCTGGGGTAGCTGGGTGATGGCTGGAAATGACTCTTTCCTGGGATTCCTAACCCACAGAAGCTGAGCAGTCAGGATCAGCTGCAGAACTGAGTCCAGGGTCCTGGCAGCCTCGAAGACCTGGGTTGGCAGAGGGGGTGGTGCCGACACTCCCACCAACCCACATAGAGGTTGTGGGTGCTGCCTGCCTGGTCAGGTGGATGCGGACAAGAGTATTCCTACTTCGTATGTGTGTCTGTCTGTTTTGTTTTGTGGGGAACATGCTGCCTCTTTACTTATTCATCATGGTAGGATACTAGACAGCCACTTTTCTAGACTTCAGACGTTATCTTTTCCCAACGGAGACTCAGAATCCCTGTCCTTCTCTAGGCATGTCTGGGCTTGGCTTTTAAGCAGGTTATGTGTGTGGGGTCTCAGGGTGGTTGTGGACAGCACTGCCTGTGGACTGACTCCGGATACTTCATTAGTGTCTGAAGGTGCGCTCTGTGTGGCTGTGCTCTTCTGGTTTTCACACTGTATATCTTTGGTTTACACTTACAGAGATGGGGTGACCATAACTTCTGAAGGCTTTTACCTACCCATATTAAGACACTGGGGACTCCAGGAAGTGGATGTGCTGCTCTGATAGACAGTCGGGCACGTATCTGTGGAACAGACTCTGGGACAGACTGGGGATTTGGGCGTGGGGTCATTGCAGCTGTGTCTACACCCTTGCTCCAAACTGTAGTGTTTGCAAGACCGCCCTGCAGCTGAGAGCAGCCCCTCTGGACGAGGACCTGGCCACCATTGATCAGTTCCTGCCTACCTCGTCTCACTGCCCTTGGCTGTGCTCACTTTGGCTGGCATCTGATGCACCTAATGCCAGAGTGAGACGGGACCCTTGGGGCATGGCCTCCCACTTATTGCTGTGTGTAGCAGGACCCAGGGACACAATGTGTCCTAACAAATCCCAGGAGACAAATCCCTCTGTCCTGGGCGTAGGTTGGGCAGATGGGGAGAGGGGAATGTAAAATGTGTGGGGGAGAGAGATGGCATGGCCCCATGATGCATTTCCAAGATGGAGCCATTCCTGTTCCAAGTACGGGAATTTCCTTACTGGGACTAACAGTGTTTTTCACTACATTCAGGATGGTTACAGGTTTGCTGCAAGAGGGTGGGTTTGGGTTTGGGTTTGGGCAAGAATGTTCTGTAACCCCAGGCTTGACACCCACGTTTTGCTGTTGGTCCCAGCAAGAAGGGTGTGAGCACCCAGAGAGGCTCTGTGGCCCCCATAGCTCACCTGCGGTGGCCAGACCACAGGCACCCTGCCTCCTTGGTACTTAGCAGGACCCGACTGGTACGCAGCGCTCCTCTCACATTCACACATCAGCACCTTATGTGGCCCACCCTGTCTCTGGCTGAGGAACCTGAGAACATAAAGAACATGTCTTCGCCAGGGGTGCCCTCATCTGGGAGTGGAGCTTCTCTTGGGAGGACACTGTCACCTGCCTCTGAGGAGGTGATCAGACCAGCAGTGATATTTCTGATGTGGCCACAGGAAAGCATGCGTTCTTGTCCGTTCATCTAGCGGGAGTGAAGCCTGCCTCCCAGGTTTGCTTATTTGTTTGCTAAAAGTGGTGGTTAATGTTCTGAATTCTGCAGGGGAGCAGTGGGAACTGGCTTCCCTCTCAGCTCTTTCCTCTGAATCAACCAATACCAAGCAGAGAAACTCCACAAAGGACTTCAAAGGGAAACCCTACTTTGCCCATTTCAGCAGCATCGATGGAAACAGCTCATTAATTTATCTCCCTTAAAGGTTGGCAAGGTAGCTGGATGTTTTGGCAGCACCCCACTTTGGGAGGCTTCTTGTTCCACCTCTGGGAGCTGACTTGTCCCGGCACACAGCTTAATTAGGACCCGTGATTTAATTAGGAGGCTTCACCTTAGCCCAGATTAATTACAGTTGCTTTCTTTGAGATAAAGGGTTTCCTTTGCCAGTCACAGCCACCATCCAGCCAGCATGCTTTGTAAGTGACCCCACCTGGGAGTGGAGCCCTCCCTGGAGGTTGCTGTCCCCTGAACCCTGAGGGCGTTGCCAGGCCACTACCGATGATTTCATTTCCAATATGGCCACAGGACAGCGTTTCTCAGCTGTTTATCTAGTGGAAGTGGAGCTGCCTCCTCACAGGTGTGCTTATTGGTTTGCTAAAAGTGGCCTTTGAAGTTCTGAAGTCTGCCTGGGAGGCTGACACAGGAGCCTTCTGGTCCTCTCTCTGTTCAGCACACACTGATCACCTGGCCTGTCCTTCTGCAGGTTTGCCCTGACAATTCCAGTTTCCACTGCCCTGAGCATGTGATGGCTTCTGTTTTTGAAGGAGGGCTGAGATTGCCTTAATGATGAACTCAGGTTCGGAGGGTGACCTTAGTTATAGGTAGTCTTCACTAGTTGCTAATGCTTTACATTCAAGAAAAGGCAGCTGTTTGTGGAGCCCAGAGGCGGTCTGTGCCTGAGTCCTCAGATCTGTCTACTCCTTGGCCAGTGAAGGACTCTAGTTCCGCTGAGTAATGTTCAAGCTGGGGGATGGCTGTTTGCCCTGTGTTTCCTGGCCCACTGGCTGCAGCTTCTCTGTGGTAGGACTGGGGTTGTGTGGAGAAACGGGGATGGGCTGCTTTTCCTGGGCATATGACAGGAGACGGCACTGCTTGGCCTGGCAGTGATACATGAACAGGAGCTGTGTGCAGTGTGTCCCTCCCAGAGGCTTCTGATCAGAACTAGCAGAAGAAGGTTGGAGGGCAGGTAGAGACGCAGAGCGGTCTCGCTGGAAGTGAGTGAGGAGGTGTGCAAGCCCTGTGTTCAGGGAACCTGGCAGGGGTGTGAGGAGATGCTGCTTTGGTTAGGGAGCCGGGACTGCAGAGGCCAAAAATGCCACATGGTCACGGAGGGCAACAGCCCAGACACAGGGATGACTGGCCCCGGGTAAGGCACCAGGCAGGAGCATGCCGTCCATCTGTCTAGGGGAGCTGGGAACCAGTAGGCCGCTCAAAATAGGCCTGCTTTAACAGTGCTTCTTGTGTAGTGCTTACACCCACTAAATTTGAGACCGGTCTCCGTTCTGTTGAGTTGGTGTTGGGAGCTGCTCGTGACCCACAAAGGATTTAAGAAATTTTTCCAGGTGCTCTCTGAGCTGCGAGCCAGGGAGCCTGTGTGCTTGTTCTCTGCTGAGGCCCTTTCCAGCAGGCAGTGAGGAGGAGCGAGTGGACCACAGCTGGGGACCTTTGGGTGCTCCGAGGGCCCTGCTCAGCTTGTCATCCATGAGGACCAGAGGCCAGAGGGCCACCCATGAGGGCCAGAGGCAATTCTTCATCACCACCCAAGGCTAAGTGGCCTGTGTTTATTCTGAAGGCCGAGGATGACTTCTTTAGAGCCTGGAGTAAGATGTTTAGCATTATCTGCCTCAGGTGTCTGGTGGTTTTTGTGGGAGACCCCTCCTACTGCAATTGCCCCAGTTAATCAGTAGCAGATTTCATCCTGTTGACCTGGTGTTTTTGTTACTGTGATTCTGGGCGACACCCCTCTTTGTCCCTGGGCTCCGGGCTGGCTCACAGACCCCCTGCCAGGGACTGGCCACCACCTGGTGTATGTTACTTGTCCCTCTCAGAGACCAGCCCTCTTCCCCGTCGCCTCCTCATTCCTCACTGTTTTCTTTAAGAAAAGGAGTCTTTACTGATGTCTTGTATGTTGGGTCGGGGGAGATAAATGGGTGTGGTACCCCTAGCTCAGGCCTCACACTGCACCAGCCTGGGCCACAGGGATTAGTAAAGCCACAGTTATTAGTGCTTCCTGCCTGATTGTCATCTCTCTTTCCCACTCTTCCACCCAAGGGCGAGCCTGTCGGCCACAGACTGCTACATCGTGCATGAGATCTACAATGGGGAGAATGCCCAAGACCAGTTTGAGTACGAGCTGGAGCAGGCCCTGGAGGCGCAGTACAAGTACATCGTGATAGAGCCCACGCGCATTGGTGATGAGACCGCCCGCTGGATCACCGTGGGCAACTGCCTGCACAAGACCGCCGTGCTGGCGGGCACTGCCTGCCTCTGCACCCCTCTGGCCCTGCCCCTGGAGTACTCCCATTACATCTCCCTGCCGGCTGGTGTGCTGAGCCTGGCTTGCTGCACCCTCTACGGGATCTCTTGGCAGTTTGACCCTTGCTGCAAATACCAAGTGGAGTACGATGCCTACAAACTGTCACGTCTGCCTCTGCACACACTCACCTCCTCCACCCCGGTGGTGCTGGTCCGGAAGGACGACCTGCACAGAAAGAGACTGCACAACACAATAGCACTTGCTGCTCTGGTGTACTGTGTAAAGAAGGTTTACGAACTCTATGCCGTATGATTTCGGGAGGGAAGGGAGAGAACGCAGAACAGCCCAGCCCAGAGAGACAGCAGTACTCAGATTGCCACAGTCACAGCTTTGCTCTGTGAAGCAGCACAGCCTGGGAAGGTGTTGGTTAATATTTGTTATTTTTAAAAAATAACACAGATCATGGTGTGCTGTAGGGTTCTTCAGCTCATTACACTAAGATGTGGATTTCCATAACCCAAGAAGGGGTCTGAAGCTGTGGATGTCTGACTGGGCAGTGGAATGCTGATGGAAGCCAACGCTGCTGAGGGGTGTGAATGCATTTTGGGGGGTCTTTTAAGTATATTGTTTAACTGTACCATCCAGAGCCAACCAGAAGCTATTGACCATTAAAATGATGAGCGTTTCAATTGCAGGTGTTTTCTCTCTCTTCATGCTTTACTTGTAGTCTGCTCTGGGCGGCAGCTCGTACATGCAGGGAGAGGGCACCGTGGCATGCCCACCCCTCCTGTTGGCAGCCTGAGGTTCCCACCTGCAGGAGAGCAGGGCAGGCCGCGGCCCCAGGCAGCCAGACCCCCTGACGCCATGAATTCTCTTGGCCTATCATCCCCAAGGCCAACCTTGCTAACATGCTGTTTGGGGTGCAGCACGTCAAGGGGGTACAGCCTAGGGGTCGAGGTTCTTTTGTGTGCATGTGGGGCCTTTGGCCCCTTCCCCAGGGACCCTGATTTAGGAGGAGACAGAAACTAATATCGGTGTTCTAAAGCACCACCGTTTCTGACGCAAACCCCAAGTTCCCCTGCCCGAGGCCAGGGGACAAGCAGCCTTCACAGCACTGCTTGGCCTCTGGTGCCACAGCCCTGCCCCACAGGGGTGGCTCGTGGACCCCTTGCACGGATGGGGCTAGCCACTGCCTGGCGCCTGTTACTTGTCCCTCTGAGAACAGCCCTCCCCTTACCACCTCATCTCACTGGTTTCTTTCAGAAAAGGAGTCTTTGTGCCTCTAGTAGGGCATACTGAGTGTTGTCTTCTGCACTCCCTGCAAGCCTTCAATAAATGGAAAATTGTTTCCCCCTGAAGGTCAGGGACCCCCTACCTTCAACTGCAACTTCCCTGAGACCTCTGCCCCCTTCAGTCACCCCTGAAGAGCTACATACCACTGCTTTCTGAAGGGTTAGACAGACAGATTGACTCTTGACCTAATTCAAACCGACCTGTCAGGGAGGTCTGATGCAGAGAGGGAGGGGTTCTTAGCCTGGGATGCATGGAATGGCCTCAAGGAGGTGGGGGTAGGGGTTGACTGGGCCATTTTTATAGGGAGATCCAGAGCTTTTAAAGATTTAAGTTACCTATGACCCACAAAGGGTTTAAGAAATTTTGATTTAATTCCAAGGGCCCTAGACATCTACTCACGCATCCGAGTATTGTGTAGCAAAATGGTGTTGGGTGCACGCTGGTATTTGCACAGCATTTTGGTAATCGGGAACAGTGGTAAAGCATTAACTGCCTTGGCCACACAAAGTGAACCCAAACAAACATCACGTCCCTCATCCCAACTGCATAGTGCATGCTGAAACCCGGTGTATGACCCCTCAGGTGCTGAGGGCCAGCTTCCTAGCCTGCTGGGCGGAGTGGTAGGTGTTTTTGTGACAAACAGGCCCACGTTTGGGAGGGAGCCCCTTGCCCTGCCTGTGCATCAGATGTGGGAGGGGGAGGTGCTGGAAGCAGAGGAGCTGCTCAGTCCCCTGCGCAGAAGCCCTTGCGTGAAATAAAAACCAGGGGCTAGTGGTGCTGCTCCTCCCCATTTCCCAGCTGCCCTGGACAAAGTGACTTGATGGGTGCACTAATCCAGATGGTAAAATGCCATCTTAATGCCATGTCCCCTGGCCAAGGAGGGGAGAACAGGTGATGGTGTGGACAGCAGGGTCACTGGGGAAGGGGAGCTACTGAGAAACAGCCCATATCTCTATGGCCTTCCCTCCTGGTCCGTGCCAGGCTCCTCCACCTCTGCCACCCTTCCGAGAGTAGCTGACAGGTGGGCCACGCCATTTCTGACGTGCCACCACACTTCACTTTTGAAACATAAACTGCATTACTGTCAACTGAGAGAAAGCAAGGGCCACATTTGCATAACTGAGTCCTGTGTGTACTCTTCCAGGGAACATATGTAACAAATTTATCTAGTTTTAACCCATCTGCACCCCAATTTAGAGATGGATGAGGAAGTTTATGTGAAAGGCCTGCTAGTCAGGAAAGGTGGAGGTGCAGGCCTTGCTCTGCTCCTGGCAGTCTGCACATCTGGCTCTGCAGCTGCTGGTCCTGCTGCGGGAGGGACACTTCTCCCTCAGCGCTGCTTCAGTAGCAGTGCGCCCAGGGGACTGCATGTGGCACTCTCACTCAACCACTGGTGCTTGCCAGCCACTCCAGAGCACAGACGTGGTTGTGGGTCTGGAAAACATTCAGTCTGATTTCTCAGCCTTTGGCTTTGGCATGAAGCACAAGATGCTGGCTTCTGCCCTGGACAGTGAAAACACCAAGAGGCTGAAAGAGCAAAGGGGAAAGTCTCTGACCTTTATAAGACATGTGAAGCCAGAACCAATTAAATGGTGCTTTTCAAGGCTTACCAGTTACACTCAAGGATGAAAGAGAACCAGGGCAAAGACAAACTTTGAAGACAGAAAAGATAAACTGGAGCAGCAGCACCACCCCCTACCCCCCACCGGTGGCAAATGTTCACACTCAGACATTGGCTTGAAGAACACATTCCATCCCAAGTGTTTCTTTAGAGTGAAAGGCCCTGTGTGGATAAGGGGGCATAAAAAATTCAAACAAGACTTTCCCGTCTGTCACTTGGGTGCCGGCATAGGAAGAAGTCACCTTCAGAAGCTGATAATTCCCTGTGAGCACTGTCACTTGATGTCAGTCAGCAGACCCAAGAGCAACAGAGCTGTGGAACAATGGCTGTTCAGGGGCCTTAGCTGTGGCTCTACTCCCTCCCCATTGAAAGTCCTTCTGCTGGTAATGCGTGGTGGTGGTGGTGGTGGTGGTGGGGGGGGAATGAGGGGAGGTGGGGGCTGTGTCTTTCCTGCCTCTCTGGCACTTGCCAACCTCAAGTTGGACCTCAGACCCAGGATTTGGCACACAGCCATACCTAGCTAGATTTAATAATTGTTCAGTTTGCATTATATTATTTTCTATTTATGGCAGATGATGCTGGTTTTCCATATATGGTAGTTTTGAAAGGGAGTTGAATTGTAGTGTTAGATAATGAACACACCAACTGTACTGGACGTGTCAAATGTAAAGGGGGAGTCTGGGCTGAGAACCCTCGATGCCTCGCTCCATGCACCAGGTGCTGACCCACACCCCTGGGTAAGGGCTTGATGGGCTCCTGGTCACCTGTTGCAGTGGTTCCAAAACTAATGACCTTAACATGTGTGGTATTCCCTGTCTTCTGAGGAAGGAATAAACTGCTGCTACCGATGAGACTCCTCAGTCTGGGAATCTTCAACTGCCGACCACTTCAGTTCAGGGAGAGAAAAGGGCAGCCCTTGGACACGAAGCCGACAATGCCAGCTCACAGGTGTTCAAGTGGAGCTGCCCTCTCACTGACATCTGGAGAGGCAGCATCCTCTGTCCTAGCCGTCACTGAGAAACTGCAGTGCACTTAGAAGTTTAATTAGACTCCAGATGTGGGCTCCTGTTACAGGGGTGTGTGCTGGCTCTAATTTTAATGTCTAGCATGAAAACTAAGACCTTTGCCTTCCATGAGGAAGGCCAACGGTGGATGTAGAAAATGGAGACCTACCCATTATGCCTGTGTCCATGTTTTAACCAAAGAGCCCTGGAATGCCCAAGGTGTGCTGTGACTGGGGCTGTTCCCAGAGCTCACCAGCCACTCCTCTCCCCTCCCAGGGGGCTTTGGGTGTCTATCTCTTGGGGTAGCGTCTACAACCCAAGCTCCTCAAGCCAGAGCTGTGACGTGAGTGCCAGCGTGCTACCTTAGACTTTATTTCAGTTCTGAGAAGTCTACAGTGGACCTAGAAAAGGCACAATTTAAGCTGTCAATTTCAATAGGAAAAGTCCTTCCTAAACTTCAGAACTTAATTTGACCTACTCAGTGAACGTCAACCATGCATTTTTAATATATCGAAAAGGGGAAAGCAGTTATTCTTTTTGGCTTGAACACCAGTCACAGATAACAGACGACAGCTCTGCCAGAAGACTGCTGAAGAGCCACCGACCAGCATCCTGGGGGGCATGTAGGACCCCACGGCTCCCCCTCCCGCTGGCTGCCATCTCAGCAAAGGCAGCAGGGTCCTGCACGCCTCTGTGAAGTAGACAGGAGAGCCAGGGCTCGTTCCAGACTGACGCCTGCTCCCTTGGGGTGCACCAGGCAACTGATTTTGTGCAGGCTCATCTTCTACACTGACTGGGAGATTAGAGGGCCTGGGAGTGGACGTGAATAACAATGATTTCTTAAAACTGCGGCTTTCTCCCTTGAGTTCTGGAGGGGGGCTCTGCCAAAACTAGGTAAATGGTCTTGGATAAGTCAAAGGTGAGAGCAACTAAGACAGACAATTTCTAGGAGCTGCTGAGGCTGTAACTCAAAGGAGGCGTGGTCCTGTGAGTCCCTGAGGACTATGGCTCCCGCCTGCTCCACTCACTTCATGCTTTTAAGAGTTAAAACCTGGGAAGAAGCCTGGCTGCGTTCTCTGGTCATTCTCTCCCAGTCGGGCCTGGCCAGGGTCTGCGGCTGTGCTTGCCTGTCTTTCCCACCAGAAGACAAATCTCCCCAAGTCCCACAGATGCAGCTGTCCCTCGCAGAGCAGCCATGCCCAGCAGGTGCTGCCTCTGATCCCAGCTCTGGCCAGGACTACAAGTCCTTGGATTTCCGCTCCTTTCGGGCCCTGGAGGCCATGAGGCTGAAGAAGAGCCTAGGAGCCAGAGTTCGAAGGTAAATGGCCAAGAAAGGCAGCAGGTCAGCCAGGATCACGTCTTTCTTCTTTTTCCCCACAGCAGTGAGGACATCTCGGGCCACATCCGCGGGGCTCCGGCCCTGGGCCGTGGTCTTGTCCATAGCTAGAACACAGAGAACAAAGCAAAAGAAACATGTGATCGTGGAAGCAGAAGCCCTTGGGAACCTGGGCTGCTGGGGCTGTTAGGTCTACCACTGCTTCCCCATGCAACTGCTCCAAGTCCATCAGGAGGCAGGAGTGCCACTAGCCCTGTTTACTTCTTGCCCTATGGAAAGGCAGTTCACTGTGCGAAAGTAGGGGTGAGGGAGGTAGTTCTTGAACTCGAAAACCCCTCACTCTGGTTTATTTCTCTGGCGCCAGTGGAGCACTGAGTTCATGGGATCTATAGCTAGTTAAGGGCTGTCCTCCACAGTGGGCTAGTTTTGCTGTGAACACTGTCGCTGGGGGGCTACCGGCAGCATATCCCTCATGCTGGAGGGTGATATAAACTGGGGTGATGCTGCCAGCACCCTAGGTGACAGAGAAAGCCCAAGGTGACCTCTGTGACAGGATTCTGTGGGAAGGAAAATGGTTTTCCAGATACAAGATGGAAGGGCTCCCTCCCCAAGAAGCCAGCTGGCCAGCTGGTGCAGCACGCATGTGCATCACAGGCAGATGACTCAGGGACGGCTTGTGGGGCTTAGGTCTCTGGCCAGCCTGCCCCACCACACGCCAGCTGTGAGCACTGGAGAGCGCTGACGGAGGGACAAAGGTGGTCAGGGGGCCAAGGAACAAAGCTGAGGAAGGCCAAAGACTAGGAGGACTTGGTTTTGGCTTCCAAGGAGACGGCAGGCTCTGCCACAGTCAAGTCCAGCTCAACTTTACATCTCACAATATGGGAGGGAGGAGGCCAGGGGTGTGTGTGTGTGTGAGGCTGGGGCTTCCCAACAACAGGGGACGAGGGGAGTGTAGTAACTATTAGACTGAGGAGCCCCAGATTCAGCGCGTTAAACAGAAGAGTCTGACCACTTGAGGTTCCAAGACTAGGGTGAAGGCTGGCCCAGACGGCGTCTCCAAGAGGGAGCCCCTCGCACTACATCTGAGGAGCTTCTGGGCTTGGAGAACTTTGCCTACTGGAGCAGTGACTCACTAAGGGATGTCATATGATGGGATCTGTCTTGGGTAGCTTGGTTTCAGGTCTGCCCAGAGACGGGAGAGGACCACAGCCTCCATGTGCGTGTGAGCTCACCTAAAGCCAAAGGGAAGAATGAGCGGGAGTACAGACAGCTTCCTCCATTCCCGAGGCCATGTGTTAAGTGGATAAGGAACAGGAAGAAGTCCTGGTTCATTTTAGGTGTTAGATGCGACAGGTGAGGGGAGTTTGGGAGGTGCTAGGAACCCTGGTGGCACAATAGTTAAGAGTGTGGCTGCTAAGCAAAAGGTCGGCAGTTCAAATCCATCAGCCGCTCCTTGGAAACTCTATGGGGCAGCTCTACTCTGTCCTATAGGGTTGCTACGAGTCGGAATCGACTCGATGGCAACGGGTTTCTTTGTTTGTTTGTTTTTAAGTCAACAGCAACTGATGCACCTTCTTCCCTAGTGGTCTGTGTTTTCCACCAAAGTCTGACCACCTGGCAGGCACCTGAAACTGTCCTCAAGTTGTGCTGGTACCTGAGCTTCCTCAACGGTGTCTGTTCTCACAGTGTTTGTTAACAGAGAATAGGAGGTTTCTGAGTGTTGCTTACTTTTAAATGCCACCAGAGCAAAATTTTTAAAAAGCACCTTCCCAGTGTAAAGTCTATATGAAGCCCTCTGGCCCCATGCCATGTGGGGTGAATGGCCTGCTGAGGTACACCTGCCTCTTGGCACAGGCCTGGTGCGGGGTGCAGGGCCGGGGGAGGGTACAGGGAGGGAGCATAGCCAGCTCCAAGGTGCAGGCAGGCATGCACGGGTCAACTCAGACCTGAGTGGCAGGAGCCTCCTGGCCGCTGCTGGGTCTGCACACAGGGCCAGGTAGCCCGAGCAGTGCCTGCAGGCCAGCTCAGGTCCACTCTGAAGCCAGAGTGGAGGCTCTTGGAGGCCTTGTCCAGCTCCTCCAGGAGACTGAGCTTTTGCTGACTCCCTTAGCTGGGCACTTCTCAACATACGGGGTCGGGAACCTCTCAGGTCAAGAAACCCTCTTTCCATGCGGATAATCCACTTTAACCCTGATGCTAATGATGCTCCTTGGCCATAGATTCTGAGGATAGAGTACTTGGCAGTTTTGAGGCATTTTGGCTTGAAAACTTTCTTTCCACCTTTCAAAGCCCTGGCTTGCTTCAAAAGACGCAGCAGTGATGCCTGGGCTAAGGATGACTCATGGTGGGAAAGTGAAGGTTACTCAATGGTCCATCTCTATAACCAGCACCCACAGAGCAAGACTTACAGTTTTAACAATCATATTCCAAATGAGACTGACCAGGAACCCACTCACTCAGCTAAGAGCAACACGCATGTCAGTTCGTGCAGGAAAGGGCGGGCCTCACCTCCATATCTGGAACCATCAGCGGTGATGGCGTTCAGGGAGAGGTTGGTGCGGATGTAGCCTGGGCTGATCACAGTCACCTCAATCTCATGCTGCCTCACCTCAGCGCGCAGACAGTCAAAGAATGCCTGGGTTGCATGCTTGGAGGCCGCATCTGCAAGGTGTTGTGGCCAAGAGAGGCAGTGAATGCCCTGATGTGGGACACTGGCCTAGAGCCCATATACCCATCCTTGTTCTTCCTCTCAGATCACAGTAGCTCACTTCCTGCTTTTGATAATGGCACCATGTCCCTGTTCTTAGGAAAAACGCTGCAGTATTTACGAGTGGAGGACTGTGTCTCCATCTTTCTCTCAAATGATTCAGGAAAAAAAGATGATAAGCTGTATATCTACACACACACACCACACACACGCACACGCACACACACAGAATATGATAAAGCAAATGTTGTAAATGTGAACAATCGGGAAATCCACATGAAGGTATACGGGAATTCTTTGTACTATTTCTGCAACTTACTTTACGTTGGAAATTATTCCAAATTATAAGTTAACCCAAAAATTAATGCCTACTGGGTAAAACATAGGTCTCTGGATGGTGAAAGTGGTTTGCAATCAGCTACTAACCTAAAGGTTAGTGGTTCAAACCCACCGAGAGGCACCAAGAAAGAAAGGCCTGGCGATCTGCCTCCGTAAAGATTACAGCCAAGAAAATGCTATGGAGCAGTTCTACTCTGTAACACATGGAGTTGCTATGAGTCAATGGCTGACTCAATGGCAATGGGATTTTTTGGTTTGGATAAATGTTCGAATAGCACAGGGTACAAGTAAGAAAGTGAAAGTCTACCTCCTGCCTCCAGTCCCAGTCCCCAGAGGTGACCAATGCTGACAGTTTCTCATGACTTATTTTTCATGTACTCTACGTACATATATGTGATTTGACACAGAAGTATTTTTTAAAAGACTGAGATCCTATTGTTCATATTGTTGCAGCACGTGGTATTTCCCCCGGTCATGTACTTGAGCAGCTCTCCGTGCAGCCCCTGTAGGCCCACACACTGCTGCAGCTGCATGCACCCTCCTGGGCTGGTTTGCCACTCAGGACTGGCCCTGTCGACAGGCTGTGTCCAGTTGTCACCCAAATGGTGTGGCCAGCAAGCACCCTGTGCACATGAGTGTGCGCCTCAGCCTGTGTTCTTTGTGCACCCGCCACCTGACAGATGCCCCAGTGGGGGGTCTTCACCAGGGCATGGGGCTTCCGCCTCTGCTCCTAACTACACTCTACCCGGGAAAACAGAACAGGCCTCTTAACTGAACCAGCGTTCCCTCCCATTCAGAGCTCTAAATGCTTTAGCTTTGGGAAAGAAGGGGCATCTGTCAGCCAAGAAAAACGGGCAGGGAAAGACCAAGGACATATTGGAGGAAGTTGCCAGAGGCGCCACTCAGGTTCTGAGCTTGCTGCGGAGCCTTTCAGGTGTGGTGCCTTCAGGTCGGGTCACATTGCAGGGCTTGATAGTTTGGGGGTGGATGGAACCGCTCCTATTGGCCATGACTCCAGGCGTGCAGCCCAGGCCTGAGGACAAGGAAGAGTGGGTCCTCCTGCGGGTCGCCTCAGGGCTCTCAGGCCATTGGCCCTCAGCCAGGCTGTTCCAAGTGCAGTCACCAGTCACGCCCTGGGGCAGGCCTGGTACAGGCACTCCATGGACTGTCTCCCCAACCTACTGACCAGCATGCACGGGTCACAGCACTCTCCAGCAAGAAGCATGCTTACCCATCAGGCAGCACCAGGCCACAAGGGGTGGCCCCTGTAGCCAGAGCCCAACCAAAGAGCAAAGGTCAGGCAGTTAAAGTGGAACGTAGGAATAATTTTAAACTGATACGAACAGTACGGAGAACACTAGATCCTTGACCCAGATTTACCTATTAATAACACTTGAGCTCATCTGCTTTATTGTTTGTGATTATACATATGACAAACTTTTCTTCCTGAACCATCTGAGTGGCCTTAGAGAGTGAGTGCCATGCCGTCTCCTGCTCTGAGCTGAAGCAGAGCCACTGAGACACCCTGCACGCCACAACACTCCACAGAGTGGAGGCTGTCTCATTCATCTTCTGAGCAGCCCCGTGAGGCAGCTACAATGACTATGAGTCTTGTTTTATAAGTAAGGACCCTGAGGAGCAGAGAGGGTAGGTAATTTGTCCAAGGTTCTACAGCTAGAACTAAAAGGCAGAGCTGGGATTCATATCTGAATGAATGTCTGTTACATTTCCTGTTTAGATGATGGGTTATATCACAGGGTGGGACTGGACTCTGGTCATTGTAGTTTCAGAGTGCAGAGACAGCTCCGGCTACCCTGACAGGCCTACAGCTGGTGGGGTGAACAGCAGCTGGCAGGGTGAGCAGCAGCTGGCGGACTGAGTAGCATCTGGAGGTGGGTGGATGTGGCTGTGACAAGTCAGTGCTTCCTCTCAGAGAGTGGAACAAAGGAATGCGTTCCTAGGACAGGCTGTTAAACTACCTTTACCATCTTTAAAACAAGCCTCAGATGCTGTGCTTGCTGGTAAGCACGATGGTGGACAGGTGCATGAGGCCACCTCGCCAAATTCTAGTGCAGCCTCTCTCAGGCATATGAGGGAGAGTGTGAACTGGAAGTTGATTTGACAATTTTATTTTTGGATCCTACCCAGTATTTCAGCTTTGTGGACTTTATCTCACTGAAACTCTCCAGGAGTGCCCAGAGATGGAAGTATTAGGGAGGTTCTACATAGCACATTGTTGCAGAAGGTCAGAGACCCTAGGGAAGAAACCCTCCCACATGCACCAGTAGGAAATGGCTACATGAGTGAGGCCATATCCCTTCAGTGGATCACAACACAGCTCCAAAGAAAGGGCAAGTCAGATCCCTGGTGCTGATGTGGACCAAGAAACTGCAGAGGGAATGACTAAGCCACAAAACATGATCCCATTTCTCTTTGTTTGGCTATATGTAGAAAACAATTGGGGCATCTGCCCCAAAGTGGTAAAGTGGTTCTATCTGTGGGATGATGATGATAATTATTACTAACACCAGCAGCAGGGGCTGACATAGGGCTCAGTGCCTGGTGCTGCCCCAGACTTTACTCACAGTACACAGATTAGCTCATTACTCTTCTGAATGCCCTCTGAGGTTGGACCTGTGACTGTACCTATTTTGCAGATGAGGCCTGAGTACACAGAGGGGGGGCACTGGCCCAGGGCTACCCAGGGTGAGGAGTGGAGCTAGGACTTAAACATTAGGCATTTGGCTCAGGAGTTCGCATTCTGGCAAAGTTCCTTCATATTCTGTATGGTGTATTTCTGTAATGTTTGTAATTCTGGATAGTAAACATGTATTTTCTTTACAATCAGAAAAAAAAAAGAAAACAATAAAGAAAAACATTTCAGGGTAGGGAGAAGTACTCACAGGCTGATCGAAAAGGAATGCTGATTTTGCCCTGGATGCTGCTGATGACAGCGACATGGCCTTGTCTCCTCTCAATCATGGAGGGCAGAAGTGCTAAGGAAAGAGGACTAGCTTTAGAGGGCATCCTCCATCAGTGGCTCCTGACACCGAGGAGACTGAGCTTACTATATTTAGTGAGCAAGGAAGGTGAGCCCTGAAAGCCCTTCAGGGTGGAGAACTGTGTGCCCCCGGAAGGCTGAGGCCTGCTGCGACCAGCAGACTGCAGGCAGGAGGGAGGGGAGGGGAAGGAGCAGGGAGACAGCCTCCCGGCCTGGGCATTCTCCATGGTGGCTTGGCCCCTGGTGCTGTGCAGAGCCTCTACCCTGACTGCAGTCTGTGCTGGACATGAACAGACCCCACTCTGTAGGGTCTAAGACGCCAGAAGGGGGGCATGGAGGCAACACTGTGCAGACAAAGCTGTCACTGAGGAGAACAAGTCTTGATTTGAAGCTATAAAGCAAAGAGAGAAAATGTAAATAAATGCCTGGAAAAGCAAACATCCCAGCCCACTCGGGTAAAGCAGAGGACAATGTTTAGCTGAAAACAGTCCAAGTAAAAAGATGGCCACGCATCAGGGTTCTATTTTAACACAAGATCATTACCCTTCGTTAGGGCGACTGGGCCAAAGTAGTTTGTCTCCATCACTCTCTTGTCCACATCTACGGTGGTGTCCGTGATGGTGCCACGGTAGCTGATCCCAGCATTGTTGACCAGTATGTCCACATGGCCAAAGCACTGCAGGATCTCAGCTGTCGCCGCAACAATGGCACCAGGGTCTGCCAGGTCGAAGGTCACCATGTACGGCTTGTGTGTCTTCACCTGGTCAAACACAGCAGACACCAAACTCATCTTCTGGGTGACGGGTCCTGGGAGTGGCCACTGGGCATAAACGACACAGGCTGCAGTTGGAGGTCCTGCTGGCAGTGCCCGTACCTGACCTGGGAAACTTGCCACTGATGGAAAATGCCCAGGCACCCTGAACTGCAGCCTTGGCGCCTTAGCTTCACCACCAGACTGAATCCCACAGCACAGGGCTCACACTGATAGAGATCACGGATGTGCACAAAAGCACCCTGTATCACCATGGGACTAGCACAGTCCTTACACTCAACAGTGCCCTGCTGAGAGGCGGTGACCTGCTCAGGACAGGCAGTTCTACCCAGTCACTCACAAGATCAGTTTTTACACATCCCGTGTGCCAGGCACTAGGGACATAGCAGAAAGCAAGACAGACACGGTTGCTGCTCTCCAGAGGCTCAACTCACGGTCTAGCGGGGCAGACAGACTAACTGTGAAGAACACCATGAAGAAGAACAGGTGTAAGAGAAATGAATTGCTGAGCACTCCGACTTAGATAAGCAGGGTTAGCCAGGTAAGGGGGGACTGATAGATAGCCTTCTCCACAGCAGGAATCTCCCAGTATATGGTGGAGTCAGGACTTAAACCGGTCATGACCAAGGGCACCTCAGCCCATGGGGCCCAGGCTCTTTGAGGCCGGGAGCCTTGAGTGTGTCCACCTACATGGCGGCTGGTACAGGCTGTGGGGAGGTGGGGTGCTGGGCAGCAACTCCTTGACTCCTGTGGACATCGCAACCCTGGGCTCACCTTGGTGGCACGAGGAGCAGCAAGTTCTCTGGTGAGCTCTTCCAGGGCCTCCCTATTCCGACCGCAGAGAACCAGCTTAGCGCCTGCAGCGTGGAAGACTTTGGCACATTCTAAAGAAAGAGAAAAGAACGCTGTGAGGAAGCGCATGCCTTCCCGCTCCCTGGGAAGAGAGGGGAAACTGTCGGGCCTGGGACAGGGAAATGTCCTCGGCTCCTTGTCCTCCTCATGGATGGACCTTTGGCCTGGAAGTCGGCAGCTCCTGAGCAACAGCGCAGCTGGTGGTGCAGAGAACGTACTCGAGCCAGACTTCCTGCCAGCTACTCCTACTGCTGCTGCTGGCTCTCTGACCAGGGGTGTTATGGAACCCTTGTACCTTGCTTTCCTCTTCTGTAAAATGCGGGTACAGACTACCTACCTCAGGGGTGATAGGGATTAAATAAGTTAAAGTGCACAGACACTTACTACTATGCTGACAGATAAAAATCACCATGGAAGTGTTACTTTTGTATTCCTAAGCTGCCTTTTTTACATGTTATAAAAGCTGACTGTTGGTGAAAATTCAAGTGCAAGGGCTTAAAGAGACATTGCCTGTCCTCACCCTGAGGTCTTACTTTGACTTACTTCCACTCAGTGAGGCACCTCAGAAGAAAGGCCTGGCGATCTATTTCCGAAAAACCAGCCATTAACAACCCTATGAAGCACAGTTCAACTATGACACACAGGGTCGCGCTGAGGCCTAGTTTACCTCAAACGCCAAGGAAGAAGCTGGGCTCCTGGGTGGCCATGCTAGGCAGGACAGCAGTCCATGAGCCAGCCACCTTGTGCTGGACCAAGTGATTAGAGGCAAGGGGTGGCAATGTCTTAGTCACCTCTGGCTTACAGAGGGCTGGGCCTACCCTTGCACAGCTAGCCCACCTTGGGGGCAGCTGTGTGGCCAGGCCAGGAGGAAGGAGGTCATAGGGTTCAGGCAGCGTGTCCTGGTCTGGACAGCCCTTCTGCCACAACAGCAAGATCCCCTGGAGAGTCGGGAGGGAGAAGACATTCCGTGTCCTTAGGACTTAGCTGCTTTCTCCAGAGTTTTTTGCTGTCCAGGTGGTGCCAGGTGCAGCCCCTCCTCCAGCCTCTCTCCAGCTGTAGTGCTACCCCCAGGTGGTGCCTCCTGCAGCCCACAGATGGGGCTTTCTAGGGAGGTGGCCCCATTTCTGCTTTGAAGGAGAGTGGCTGGTGGTTCATGGCTCAGCCCACCTGACAAGGGGCGCAAACCAGAGCTGTAGCTGCTGTAGCAGAGGTCCCATGGGGCTAGGGTGGGTGGCGGCCTGAGGCAGTGCTGCTCATTTGGTTTAAAATCATCCCCAGGGATTTCTAACCTCGGGCCTGCTGGCTTTCCCACCCCACTTCATTACAGCAGACACTTTGGAGGACACAGAACCAAAGTGGGGAGGTGTGCTGGTGTATGAACAGCTTCTGGAAAATGACTGCCTGAACTCTCTGTGAGCTTTGCTTCTTCACAAAGCCAGAAAGGGAAGTAGTTAAAGTTTGTGTAGGAAGTGACAGAAATGAAAACAGATGGGACAGAATTCAATTTTCATTTCTTGAAAAAGTGGATTCAGGGAGGCAGGACAGTCAAGGGAAAAGGACACCAGTTCCAAAGTCCCGCTGATCTAGGGCTACTGTGCTGCCAGCGCTCCTAGTTGTAAATCTTGGTAGCCGCATCCAGAACATTCTGTTCCTTTAGTAAATGGTCCTGCTGTTCTATAAGGACAAGCTCATGTAGCTTAAATCCACATCTGGACAGCTATCTGAACATTCATCACCTAACCCCAGCCTTTGGGGCAGACGGCCAGGTAAGATGAGCCACTGAGGACACTGCAACGCTCCTCTTCAGACTGTTAAGGAACACCAGCACATCTTTAGTAGTCAGTCGTGGTGTGCAGACTTGAGATGGCTGGCTAAGAATTAGTTCCTAGTTTATCTAGGTGGGTGGCAAAGAGAAAGGGACTCTTGTCCCTAAGTTGTTAAGTGGGGCAGAACAGAAGCAGAGTGATTTGGAGTAGAGGACATGCCTGGCAAAACATACCGTATGTACATTTTTCTCAATAACTTCTGTTCTTTTCATGGTTTGGTGTTTGGAAGAAGAAATGTGGGGTCACGAAGAAGACAGTGTCCTTCTCATATGTCCACCTACCAGAGTACCTGCAATTCACCCTTTCCTTCTCAGCTACCTCTCAGATACTCTCCAAAGACTTTGAAAGAACTGCTGTTCTCTGGGATCAAGAGATACAGCTGCTCACCCCCTATATAAGGAGCTGACTGAGCTCAAAAGCCTGGCTGGTGGCACAGGCCTGGGGACAGCTGTCCCGAGATCCAGCGATAGGCCTCGGCTCACCTGAGACCTTGCCTGACATCCACAGTGGCGTGCCTATGAACCCACGCTACTGAAAGGCTTCCCAGCACCCTCCCCTCCATTGCCAACTACAAGCCAGTCACCCCCTGGACAAGGCCCTGTCCACTCCTTCGTGTCCCTGCATAACTGGGCTGCTCCTGCCCTGGGGCCCACCTTCCTTCACCTGGCATCTCCCACTCAGGTGAGATCTGAAGACTGAGTTCTTGTGTCACAGAGGCATGGGCCTGGATCTTAGCTTGCCCTTTCTGGCCAAAAGTCCTAGGGCAAGTCATGCCTTCTTTGAATCTTAGCTGTGAAAACTCCGTGAGATAATGCACGTAAAACACTTAGTGACAATCCAGCACATAGAAATATGTCATCTGTTACTGAAATGGCAAAACACTGTGGACAGTCACTGCACCTCTCCACCAGACTGTGAAGTCCTCCAGGGAAGGGGCCCTGCCAGCCATCTGTCTGTTCTGGTGTGTGGCGCAAAGTGGTAGCAGGCTGTACGATCACCCTCAAAGACACGGCAGCCAGGTGCTCCCTGTGACCAAGGGAGCTTGTGAGCCTTCCTGTGTGAGCTGAGCGCCAGTGCAGTGGCAAGCTCAAGAGATGTGTGCGGGTGGGTGTGGGAAGGGGCAGGATCCCACATGATGTGTCTGTGTTCATCTTCAGAGTCAACACACAGGTAAGGGGAGAATGATAGACACGCCTCCACCGCATGCACGGGGGCTCCAGACTGAAGCTGGCCCAGGCCCAGCACATGCATGGGGGGCTCCAGACTGAAGCCAGTCCAGGTCCCAGTGCACAAGTTTCCTGAACTGAAGTTGGCACCACTGAGGTCCTGGTCAGGGAGCAGCTGAGACCCACTTAGTCTTTTCCAACCCTGCCAAGGCCATGCCTGGGGATGGTCACAGCACAGCCTCAGTCCAGGGAAGGGGTGGGGATGGCGCATGCTGAGGCCAGGCTTCCTGGGTCCAGGAAAAGACATGTCCTGTTTGCCCCTCACAGAGTTAAAAGCATTGCTCTGATTTGTCACCCGTATTGGAAAACTGGAGCTCTCCCATGGAAATTCCCATTTCAACAGTTGGCTGGAGCTGAGCAGGGCACCCCCGAAGAGGTACATGCTGTCTCCAGTGTCACTGTCGTCACCACCTGCTTTGTCTTTCAACACCGATGCTGAGAGTCAGGGGGCCACTGGTCGATGCACTCGAGCTATTGCTCTTTTTCAGTCGTGCAGAGAACAGGACATACAGTCTGTCCCCATATCACCTGGCCTGCTCCACTTATGTGTCCTTCCAGCTGCCACTGTAGGCACCGGAGCCAGGGCACCTTGAACAGACACCTCACCCAACGGCAACTACAACAGGACCTACCTTTGCCCAGCCCAGAGGTGGCGCCTGTGATGACCACGACAGCGTCCTGCAGGTAGGCCTTCATGCGCATCCGCTGCAGCAGCTTGAAGAGGCTGAAAATGCCCACACAGCCAAAGAGTAGGGGCAGAACGGCCATGGATGTGATCAGGTCCATGACCTTTGCCTTCAGAAGACTCCTCCTGGAGGGACAAAAGTCAGGTACATCAGTGACGAGACAGGAGCAACCAGGGGACCTGCCCATCCTCCTCAGTCTGGTCAAGGCCCCACCTCTAAGCCCAGTGCCCCCTTCAGGCCAGTGCCCTGTGCCAGGTGCCTTGTCCCCCCACCTTGCATGGGGACCCACAGACAGTCCAGCCACAGACTTCACAATGCCCTCAAAGGCACAATGGTCCCAGAACACACTGGGACTGGGTGCTGTGCTTAATGCTTGGCCCCAACGAGCAAGCACTACAGGAGGCAGGTGTGGGTCAGTGCTTGCCTAAGGCTCCCTTACAGACCTGTGTGGGGAACTTAGGTAATACCCACTAGCACTTTCAGTCCGAGTATTTGCGAAACTAGAAAAGGAGAAAAAAAAAGAAAAAAACCCACACACACCATTTCCCACACCCCACCCTGAGCAGATGCCATAGAGGGATGGCTATTTGGTGCAGGACCACCCCAGGGTTGCACCATGGTGGCCCACAGATGCACCCCTGGCCACAGGACCTCACAGCACCCAAAGGGAGTCTGAAGTAGGATGGAGCCGTTCTTTGCCAAGCCGTGGTGCAGGGCTGTCTTTGGTCAGAGTTGCCATGAGCTGTGGTCCCCTGGAGGAATCAGAGGCCACAGGGTGTTTGTGCAACATGACAGTCTGTTTTTACAAAACGTGTTCCCACCACTCCCCTCCATTTCCTTAGTTACCTACCATGCCTCTAGGCCCAAAGTAACAGCTAAGAGGGGAGACAGGCATAAAGGAAGGCCGGGAGGAGTTAGTGAGGCTCCCACCATGTTCTTAACTCTGAAGGAAAAAGCTCAAAGGGACCACCTGGCAAGGGGGTGGAGTCTATTAGACAGAGGTCCACCCAGTCTACCTCCAAGATGTCCTTTCCAGGGAAATCGAGAGCTTGACATTAGTCATCAGCTGAGAGTAACTATGTGAAACCCTCACCCACCCCCACGGCCCATCCTGTCTCCTCAACCCCATATGTTTAAAGAAACCGTCCTGCTTCTTTTCCCAGGCGTGGCCTTGGTGATGCCACAGGGCCAGGCACTGCAGAGCCACCCTATGTGTCCATCTGTTCCCCAAGTCACTGTGGTCCTGAAGTTCACCCTTGGGTGGGTTGTCCGGTGGCCGAGCTGAACTGCCCACTGCAGGAGGCTCTGCTCCTAATCTGAATGGACAACTTGACTCGTTTAGTATTTCATTTTTCATCTGCCCTTCTAAATACATGTAGATTCTTGATCAGCACAAAGAATTAACACTCTTGGACAAACATCTGTAAAAATGAGTCTCCCATCCTGGCTACTGCCTGCTGGGTGGAGGCATTTTGCTCTCACTGTGCATGGTGCCATGTCTGCACTTGATGGACTGGGCACGAACATGGTTCTGAAGGGCCAACTCTCTGCCCAGCAGGATGTTCGGCAGGGCTTCAGGCCTGCAGGGGACACTCAGACCCCCAGGAAGTGAGCCCTTTGGGGTCCTGCGGCACACCCTGAGACACAGCAGGTGTGGCAGTGTTCCTTGGACGACAGGAATGATGGCCAGTTCTTTGGTGCAGCTTTACCAGACGACTGACAGAAAGCATAGGCAGGCCCTGTGGTAACTATAGCTCCATGTAGTAAACCAAAAGAAAAAAAGGTTTCAGTCCAGCAGAATGGCTGTGTGGGCTTGAAGAGCTTGTTTCCTACTGTAATTCCAGAAATGACCCTGCCTAGAGTGGCATGGAGGGGTGGGGGGTGGAGGGGGAGGGTGCTCACTGAACAGATTGCAGTGTTCAGTCTTGGGGCTGGCACCATGGTGGGCTGGGACCCAGAGCTCACATGGCCGAGGATCACTTGGCCCATTAGGTCCTCTGGATGGAAGCCACTCTGCATATTTTTCCTTGGGTCCCTGGAGACCAGAGCCCTGCTGGGTCAGCCCCATTTCATACCTGCCCCTGGAGGCTGTGGGAGCCAAGCACAGACTGACAGTCGAGTGGTGGCAGGGCCGGGGTTATGAGGGCAACCTTGAGCCAGCCTGGCTGGGTCTGCAGGACTCAGCCACTCCCCAACCCACGGAGGTACCCTAACCTCTTTGGGCCTCAGTATCCTTATCTCTACAGTGACGGTATGAGGGACCCACAGGCAGCTGTTAGGAGGCATGGTGAATAAACTCACGTGACATGCAGAGCAGTCCCTGGCCCAGGGAAGTGCCCAGTAATGTGATCTGCAACATGACCTAGGACTTCTGTGACCCAAAGCTCCTGGCCCAGGACTCAGCTTAACAGCAAGCCGACGTCCCTACTCTCTGTAAATTGGTTCTTTCCAAAAAGGGAAACTCATTAAATTTACACCTCAATGCAATTTAGTTTTTATACCTTCATAAACCCTTTGGTTTAAATTAACAAGTAGGAAAAATAAAAACACTTTGTCAGGAGAAGTCAGGATCCGTGCCCCAATCACGTATCAGAAAACGTGGTCACCATAATGATCAAAGAGGTCAGCAAGGCAAGAAGAGAGAGCAGACAAAGGCTGGAACGTCCCTCTACCCTCTTCACACCCAGGGAGGAGCAGGATAATAATACATGGCCCAGCGGCTCCCACTGGAGATGGCTGAAGCTCCCGACCAACTGCACTCTCAAAAAACCCAATTAAAACCCGAGCAGCAAGCTCACAGGAAGAAAAGAGCAGATGCTACAAACCAACTTGCACACTCTGGGACTGTGTGAACATTTGCCAACCTCCTGTCCTGGAGACCACTGTGCCTGAGGCTTGTGGGGTCTATGCCTGCCCACACCCTGCACTCAGTTGTGCCCAGCATTCTAGAATCTCAGTGCAAAGGACATTAAAAGGCAGTACCAATCCTCCCAGCTAACGCAGGAGCCTGATACTGGGAAAAGACAGATACAATGGCCATCCCGAACAAGCCGTTTATTCAAGGGAGTCAGGTTCAATATTGGGACAACTTTCCTAAGCAGCTGAAGTAGGGACTTCCACACTGGCAATGCCAACCCTTTCTGGGAGTTTTTCAAACCCTGAAAGCCCCTCCCAACTTGTTGTCTACTCTGTGCATGCCTGTGGGGCCTGGACTCCCTCATGCTCAAGAGAGTTGTCAAACTCCTTCCTGTTCCATCCTCGTCATCAGGACGGCCAAGTGGACTAGAGAGCCTGCTTTTGGTATCTGGGTGCCTTCTCCTAGCAGACAGCTCCACAGTGAAAAAAAAAAAGGAATTGTGTCCTGCCTGGCCAAATTGCCAGATGAGGACATGCATCTCCCATGTAAATCAAAGTGAAAGGCAAGTTGTTAACCTTACGGTGCAGTGAGTTTATACTGAGGGAGGAACAACTCAGAAAAAGAGGGTGACAAAGGTTGTACAACTCAAAGGATGTAATCAATGTCACTAGATAGAAGAAGTAGAAACTGTTCAGTTAGTATATATTTTACTGTATATATTTCCATGAACAACAAAATAAAATTTTTAAAAAGTGCAGGTTGTTTTCTTTGAAAATGGCATTTAAGAAGCACTTTAATATGTTCATAAATTATGCGTCTTATACCACAGTGCTAATTTGCTGCTAGTTTCAGAGAGATGGCCAGATTACAGACTGGGAAGGCAAGACTGAGGACATGAAAATGGAATGTGGGAAAAGTTGTGCTCATGATTTCCAGCATTTGGAGAGCAGCTTGCACAGAGAAGGGGCAGAGTGGGCCCCAGAGGACAGCAGGGCAGGACAGGAGCAGGGAGAGAAGCGTGGGCAGCCCCGCACAAACAGACACCAAGGCAAGGGCACACCCTCTGCCAGTGCCAGAGGCACAGGCCAGGTCAGGTTCTAAAGACACTGGTGCACACACAGCACGTGGCAGGGAGGACCCTGAGCGTGACGGCATGCTAGTGAGCAGGCAAGCTGTCGGAAGAAATGGAAGCACCCAGTGCTTGCACACTCAGGTGCCACTTGCATCTTCACGAATCAGACAGTGTAAAGTAGAAAAGTCCCTTCAAGAGTGACATTACTCGGGCTGGCCAGCCACAGTTCACAGATCCTCGCTGTTACTCTGGATTCAGCTTTCCCTTGTCTCCTCGTTTCTGTTAAAGGGCTTTTAGAAGCTCAGGTGAGAAATGAACCTATGACCAAGAGATCACCTTGCCACCCCTTATGCCATCTATTCCATTTCCCTCTCTCTGCTAGCCAAAATTTTACACTGCATTTTTACAGAAATCTGTCCCTAAGATTCCTTCTTTCTCTCAGCAATTAAAAAAATAAAATAAGTTGAACCGTCAATGAAAACAGGTTGTTGGACTCTGCTTACAAACTGCACAAAGAAACCATTAACAGCCACATCTGAGATCAAAGGCAGGGATCCAAAAGCCCTCCCAAGTTTAAAAAAAAAAGATTCAGGTATGTAAGAAGGACTGTGCACAAGAAAATCAGGTGAAAGGGCAGAAAGGGCTCCAACTGGAGGCAGGATGCAGTCACTCGGCCAGGAGTGGTTAGTGTCCCACAGCACCTGCAATCAGACTGGTATTTTATAACTGATGACCAGCTCTAACCAGCTAAGCTATGGGAAATCTATTTTCAGAAAGTAGAAGTAGAGTAAAGCTGCTCTTTTTCGGTCTCAGGTGTCTGGCTTTACCTGGAAAGAAAGAACAATAGCCTACCCTTGGAAAGCAGCTGCTCTGCCAGTGGGGGGTCCTCACGCCAATGTCCTCTCTGTCTTTGACCTGGGCAGTGACTTGAACTAGAGGCCAGAGGACACTCAGCAGGCCCCCCAGCTCAAAAGCGTGCAGGCTGGCATCAGGAAGAGTGGAACCAAAGGCAGGTGAAGGGTGTTGCAGACCGGGCTCCTGAGGGCCTAGCCCCAGAAGGAGTAGTCAGGCCAAAGTGAGCTCCAGTCTCCAGGGTGCCGTGGAGCACACGCTTCCAGCAGCCCCAGCCAGTAAGGGCAAGGTGAAAGGTGCCAACAGCCTCAGGCCCTGTTGTACCGCCACAGATGCAGGGCACG